TCAATTTCCACTGGATTCTTGTCAGTGGAAATTGAAATTTTAAACTCCACTAGTGAAGATTGAAATTTTAATTTCCACTAGTGGAATTCTAAATTCCACTGAATTTTAATTTCCACTGTAACATATCTATCGAGTGCTCAACAAAGCTCTCAAATGTCAGGATCTCGATGTTCTTTTCTCTCTTTGCTTTCTCATCAAAGACATCTACGAACAACTGAAAAGCGGACAACAGCGCTTCTTTGATTCTTTCAACAGAAACGAACCACATGTGTATCGAGGACAAGTGATGTCCACTGAAGAGCTGACTCAAACGAGAGAGAGTGTGCATGAATATCTGTCAATGAACACGTTTCTGTCGACATCTCGAAGCAAGTCAGTGGCATTGAACTTCGCGAAAAGAATCGAAGCAACAGCTGATCTCCATCGAGTGATGTTTCGAATCAAAGTGGATACTTGTGTGGAGACGAAGCCATACTCTGACATCTCTCACTTGAGTTATTTCAAAGACGCGGAGCAAGAAGTGTTAATTATGCTCGGCGCGACCTTTCGCATTGATGAAGTGAGATTTGATGATGAGAAAGAAGTGTGGGTGATAAAGCTGACAATGTGCAGTGAGAATGAGAATGAGCTGAGAGATGAGTTTAATTATTATCGACAAGACATGGGAGAACACATTGATCCCGTGTCATTGAGGAATCTGATGTGGAGAATAGGTGATTATGACATGAAAGCTATTGTGTTTTACAAGAGATATTTAGAAGAAGATCCAGACAGCAGTGCCAGCTGTACTGGACTTGTAAATGTAGCTGGAGAGAGAGGAGAGATCGATGTGGCACTTGAATATTTTTCGAAAGCACTTGAAATTGATCTCAAAACACTCTCTCCTTACCATCCATACATTGCCATAGACCACATAACTCTCGGTATCAACACAAAGGTTTGTACGATAAAGCACTTGAATATTATGAGAAGGCACTGAAGATTAACTTTGAAGCATATGGAGAAGAACATGCTGACGTTGCCCTTGTTTATAACAACATGGGTACTGCATATGACGATAAACAAGAGCATGAGATGGCTTTGCAGTATTATGAGAAATGTCTTTCTATACTGGTCGAAGTCAGTTATGAGGTGTCATCAAGAGTGCCCACTGAGAAGACGATGAAGTTGGTCCTGTTAACAGGATGGCATGATGGAGGCAATATAATGACATGATCAATGAATCGCACATCGAGAAAAGGTGTTACCCAAATATTATCCTGACACAGCATCAATTTACAACAGTATCGGTATCACATATGGAAATCTGAACGAGTATCAGTCAGCTTTGGCATCGCTAGAAAAAGCGCATGCTATATGCAGAGTGTTCATGTATTGTGTCATTGTTCTGTGATAACTTGTAAAAGAAAACTGTGTGACCAGACCAGGATTCGAACCCAGGACCTTGACATACCGTGTCTATGATGTAACGACTGGGCTGCTTGGGCGATATCTCTATCCATCACATTCCTCCACGCGGCAATATTTAAATATTTATTGAATATTTATTAAAAATTGTTTGCATAAGCTGAGAAAGATCTGAGTTTATTGTGCATGAAGAAAATGAGGGATATACATTGACGACATAGTCGTTTATATGACGTCAATGGTAGAGCTGTGTACAGTCGTTCGAAATCTGTCGGGTACCTATGTATTCATGTTAAATATCGTGGATTCATCATCATCGTAGTGACTGATGATCACAAGGAGTGCGAGATCAAGTCCAATCAATGTGGTGGAGACCACGAGGCAACAAATTTTAAATGTCCGTTTGGAGCTGAGAGATGTCTCATTTTAATCAGAAATTTGTGCGCTACAATCATACCTCGTTAAGCAAGGTTTTGGCTAGCCTTTAGATTTTCTGAAAAACTGGTTTTCCAGAACACCGGATCTTCCAGGGGCTATGGGGAACCCCATGGTCATATTCGGAATCAGCACAGTTGATTACTGTACTCGAGCTACTTATGGTTATTTTATTCATAAAGGTAGGATTATATGTAGCCGGTAGAAAAGGTAGTTATTTTACGGATAATGCCTCCTATCTCGGTAATGGGAAAGACCTGAGCAGAGATATTTTTTGAAGTGATGTCTAAGTTTTACATTTTCTGCTCAGTGAAAGCTTTTCTTGAGATGTGTTCTGAAGCAAAGTTGTGTAGCTTGAAACCAGCTTTCAGAATATCCACTTGGTTTTCGATTAGAATCGCTAGATGATATAACAATTTGAAAAAACAGTCCGTTAGGAAATCACCTTCGTTACGAAATTACAGCTTTTTTTGGTTCTTTCAAATCAGAAGGTTAAACTCCATTACAAAAGTCGTCATAGAAAAATATTTCCGATAGCAGTAGATAGTATTTAATCTGATCTTTGCACTGTAGAAAAACGTTTTGAAACCGTTTTCACTTGGAGAAAAACCCGTCTCGAAATCTAGTCTTTCGAAAAACCAACTTTCTTGGAAAGAACCTAAACTCAAAAATAAATACACCATCTTGTACAGGATTTAATTCTCTACAAAATGCCATATCTCTTAATTTTTTTCGCAAAAATATCTGGGTCAGGACATTAAAAGTAAAATTTGGATTTTATTTTTTGAGGTCAAAATTTAATTTTTTGGAAATTTTAAGTTGATATTCAAAATCAGCCTCAAAAACTGCGTTAGACGATGTGCTTCATAAATTCTTAAAGTTAAAAAAATAGTTTCGAACCATCCGAAGCGAAGGTGACCGTTACACAGTGGGCATCCAGGCGGACATTAGGCGAAAAACTAAAGTCGCTCTTTTTCCAAATATGACTAGTGC